TTTTAGCCATCAGTTTTTTGGTACATATGTTTATTGTGATCTAAGTTACCATAAAAAAATTGTTATGAATTTTAAGTTCAATTGTTGTGTATAAATAAGCATGGGGCATCATATATCCCAGTGCGTGTAGCGGAATGGGACAGCTCCCTATTTTATTAAAAGAGCTGAATTTAGAATTATTATTATTCAATAATTGAAATTTTGAGGACAAATTCTTGATAAAAATTAAGTGTGGGAACGGAGGGTTAAAAAATGTTATGCATAAAGAACACAATTACAAATTATTTATTTTAGCTTGATGGCAACTGGTATATTATCTTAACTACGGCTGACTGTTTAAATTACTACAGTATTGGTTAGAATAAGTCATAGTAATCCTATTTTGATTAAACATGTGATAATCGCTTTGAATGTTTTCATTTATGTAATAGAATTATTAAATCTTACAAATAGATCAACTTGATAGATATAGAAAGTACCTACAGATCATACATTTAGCTTGTTGCACGTTTAGAAATTAGAAATCAATTTAAAATTTACTTCAAGAGATGGAATTGTACATGGGCAATGGGACACAATAAACAAATACAATTTTTAATTTGTTTTTATTTATTTTAAATTAGTAGGTATCTATAAAATTGAAAATTAATTTAGAATATGCTAATTTTTCATGTTAAATTTGTTTTTGTTCATTTAATATATATATATATATATATATATATATATATATATATATATATATATATATATATATATATATATATATAAGAAATGTAACAAAAAGTCATATTGATATAAACAAAAAAAAAAAAAATCCAGTTCTGAACAGAATTGATCACATCAACTTCAATAATTTATTTTAAAGGATAATTTGATGTTGTACAAAGAATATACATTTACAGTAAGTGTTCAAAATGTTCACCACCAGCTTCTATGCAAGCATTAACCCTTCTTTTCATGTTTTCGAACACATTATGCAGTTACTCCTCAGTTACACTTTCAATTTCATTAACTATAGCTTGCTCCAATTCATTCACATCATGCAAACGATTTCTGAATACTTTATTTTTTATATGACCAAATAAAAAGTAGTCAGGAGGTGTGAGGTCTGGAGATCTTGGAGGCCATAATCCTTTACTAATAATTCGGTCATCAAAATATTCTTCTATTAGGTCAATAGTAGCTCTAGCTGTATGAGCTGTTGCTCCATCTTGTTGAAAGTAACCCAATTGTAACTCGTCATCCTGTAGCTGTTCAACAAATTCAAGAAAAATATTTCGATAACGTTGGCCATTAATTGTGTCATAGAAAAATATGGGCCCTATTATTCTTCTTCTTGAAATTGCTATCCAAATACCAACTTTTATGGGATGTAGACTTGTCTCCACAAATGAATGAGGATTTTCAGTTGCCCATGTTCGATAATTTTGACTATTGACATATCCTGATAAGTGAAACCATGCTTCTTCAGTAAAAAAAGTTCGATCCAATAAGTTATTGTCATTTAATTGCTCATTGAACCATCGACAGTATTCCATACGTTTAACAAAATCACCAGGAAACAATTGTTGCAGTACTGAAACCTTATAAGGATGCATTGATAGATTTTTTTTCAAAATCTTATGGCTAGTTCCTACAGATAAATCTAAAACGATGAAATTAGATTATAAGAGAGTCAAGCTCCCAAACACTGTTCTTACCTGCTTGAGCTGCTAACTTTTTTACTGATTTAGTGGGACTTTGCTCCATGCGAATTCGCACATCTTGAACAACTTCTTCGGTTATTACTGTGGGCCTTCCAGACCCTTTTCCTTTACAAATGCAATTTTTCGTTTCAAAACGTTGAACAAGAACATGTCTATGATGACGAAAACTATCATATTCTATTTGTACAGCTGGAAAACGTTCCTCAAATTGTTGAAGGCAACTCTGAATTGAATATGACCAAGTTCCATCATCATTTCGAGATCCACTTCTATAATGTGCCATTAAAATAAAAGAATCTTGTTCCGGTGTAAACATTTTGAGCTGAAAATTATATTGTCAATAAACTTGTATAAAAGTAAATAAATTTACACTTACCGGCAAAAAAGAATGAAAGCACTAATGAGCTCTAAAAAGAACTGATTGGTTTATTATTATTGAGGAAAAATTTAAAAAAAGCGTGTTGACAAAATGCAAAATCAATAACCTTTAAATAATATAAATATACCCAAAAACCCAAATGAACGCTAATGATATTTTTGACAGTATTGACAACGACAGTTGACATATAAGGAACCAAATCAGGCCCTTTCGCTGTGTTTTTGATGCTACCAGATCACGTGGGTTTCGGGTATTGTTGAAGACCTGGTACAAGAGCCAAAGATACCACAAATAGCAACCACCTTCAAAAATAAATACGTAATGTCCGGTGCATCTGTAAAAAACTTCCGCAAATCGTCTTCCTCGAATACATATGCCTTCTTGACTACCTCATTTTTGCTAATTGCCTTCATGAATGCATGCACTTTGACGAACGATTTTATATCGACCCCTTTGTTTATCCTCAACATACTTTGTAATTTTGAATGGATAGTCCACATAGTCGATACTTTATACTGTTCCGACATTTTCTGGAGATAAGCGAGAACAACTCGTTTATCTATATGTGTAACCATTTGCTCTTCCATCCACGTGTTGAATTTATCGTATTCTTTTTTATAAACCGCTTCGGATTTTTGTGGTATTAAGCGCGATTCTGCTTTATTATTTAAATACTCAATATTTGAACTCATTTTAAACAATAACAACTGTTGCGACAATTAATTTTACGTGACAGATTGAAAATAAATTTTTATTTGTCTCATTTTCATGACAACGAGGTATACTGATGTTACATCACAAATTCAACCATTTTCAGTTATTAGTTCTTGTTTCCATTTTTTTGTAGAAATAATACAATATTTAGGATTTTAAAGTATACCAATAAAAAAAATAGCGTAAAGTGCTCTATTTCGAGCACTCCGGCTGCGCCGTCGTGCTCTAAAAATCGCGCATGTTTTAAAGACCGTTATATCCACTTATACTTTAATATACTATATTGTATGTTATAAACTGAAAAATTTAGTTGAAACCATATTAGACCACGTTTAGAAAAGGTCGGTTTAGGAGAAAGGGTTAATGTTATATCCTCTCTAGCATTAATAGCACATTCATCTGGATATTTCCACGCAAAAGTTGAAGAGGATAAAGGATCTAAGGAAGGTACTTTTTTTCCAATTCTTCTTTATCTTTCTTTGCCTTAATAACTTGACCAACATAGTATTTTTTAATTGTTTTTCCTAATAAAGCTACTAACTCCCAGTCACCTTTATGTATATCTGTCAAAGGTTTACTCATTTCCGTCATACATGCATCAAGTTCTTCCATCTCTCTAATCTCTTCCTCTATATCGTCATCACTGTCATTAAATATAATATTTTCATTTGAGTTTTCTCCATTTTTCTCTTCTTCAAAGTTTTGACTTTTGCTTCCTTCCATGAGACTTTGAACTTTATCAACAGTAATTCTTGGAAGTCTACAGGTTTGTCTACGTTTTTCCCAGACAGACCTGGCTGTAGCGAGTGACTTTGATTGTTATTCAATACCTGATCAGGATTACGTTGTTGGTCCTCCCATCTCTTATACGCTGCAGGATCATACGAGTATTTTTCCTTGGTAACTACGTTAGAGTTAAAAGAGTAAATGCCACCTTTTCTAAAACCGTTGCAAATTATCTCAGGTTCTGTTTCTTTCCAAATTTGTCCTATTAATGAACTAAACTTCTTTTTGGGTAACTTTCTTCCCTCATTATGTCTCTGCCATTGGACAAGTGTTTGATCCCACTTTACTTTTAACGACTTGAAAACGCTTAAATCTAGAGGTTGTAAAATGTGAAATGAATAGGGCGGAAGCTTAAGGATTGTTACTCTATTATCGCGGGCAATTTTTATTAGTGTCATCGACGTGAGACACGTGACCGTCATATATAAGTAGGTACAAATACTTCTAATAAAGTTTTTTCGAGTTAATTTAAGAACAGTTGGGATTCCATCCATCCATTGGCAGTAGCGGCATATGAAGTTCCTAGGTATTCGTCTGTAGAAGGAGCAATCCAGTCATCCCGTGCGTAACCTTTTTAGATTTGTATGGGTTACCTTCATGTTTGTTTTACTTAAGAAGCTATTTATGTTAATATAAATTTTATAAAAAATGTATTAGTTAAAATAAACATTATTATTTTATTATTTTTAAGGCAACCAATATTATTTTCTTGTATTGTTAGTTGCATATGCATCACTTTATTAACAATTAGAACCACGATTAGAACATCATTATTAATTATTTATTTTCAACGACTTGCAGTGTGTTTATATTTTTTATTAAAGTTATTTAGTTTTCAAAAAACTGGGTTATTTTGTCGTGTATTATGTTTGAATTATTTTGTGCTGATTTAGACTGGAAAATGAGAACAAAAACAACATTATTACTAGGTTGTAAGTTTAACCAAATTCTATTTTTACCTGCCCTTTTTGATATAAACTTTCAATAATAATGTTGTTTAATTTAAAAATAGTTTATTTATTTATTTATTTAAAACAGTTTATTTATATTTTATTATATAACGTAATTAATTTGTTTAATACTTAGACACTATTATAACTTACACTTTTAATTCATTTATTTTACAATTTATCTTTACTATGCAACATTTATATTAAAACTTAACGTCTACCGACCAAGTCGCGCTATTTATCTAAAGCTAGCTCTGCTCGAGTAGATTCTCGGTTGGTCTGGAAATTCTCCTCTATGAGTCAGCAGGCGCGCAAAGATTTCTCTTAAAATCAAACTGTAGCTCTATCGCTTTCGAGTTTAGTTTCTCGCTCTGACTATCCTCTCTTGTTATTTCGTATCTAGTGTTTATATGATCAAAGGTTTTAAATAGAAAAACAAAATATATGATTTATATCTGTCTATAGACGGAACAATTCTATTTTCAGTTGCAAATGAAGAAAGAACAAGACGAGCACGTTTCAAGTACGACAGTGGCCCAAATTTCGCGTCAAAGAGTACTACACAACAGCTTCGACATAAGAAATTCCATAGGCAGTATCGATGGTAATTCGGATGGCAAAAGAAAGCAACCTCCTCTGGTGTTTAGAGCTGGTACTCGGGAGGTTCATAATAAACTCGAAAAGCACCGTCGCGCGCATTTAAAAGAATGTTTCGATATTTTAAAGAAACAATTGCCTACGACGCAAGACGAGAAGAAACCGTCAAATCTTAGCATACTTCATTCGGCTTTGAGGTGAGTCTCATGTAACATAAACGTTTATTGACTATTCAAGCTAAATGTAACAGTTTGGATCACTCAAGTTTAAAACCACGACTAAATAGCTTTTTCTTAAAATGGAGTGTGAATAAAAAAAAAATAAAATGAAACCTATATTTTAGATAAACATCTTTCAATTTTTCAAATTAAAAAAATAGAATTATCCATTGTGCCTGTCTTCACTGTAGAATACAGAATTAACAGAAGTTGTTTTATTTTATTTTTTATTTATTTTATTCGTTAAACAACATACGGAAAATTTCAATTACAATAAAAAATATACAAAAATAATTTGTAACTTTTATTTTAAAAGCAAACAAACTCCGACATTTAAGTCAGTCAAATGACATATTAAGTAGAATTTTTAAATTTATAAAATAATAAAAATATTCTAAAGCTATTGAAAGACGTACTCAGAATATCCAAATTTAATGAATTTGTATTCTTGTTAGAGGACTAAATAATCCATAATTAGTTATGAGAAGTGGAAAGAAGAGAAAATCATTTTGACAAGTATATCTTACTGGTACTCTAAATTGAATGGATTCTAAAAGTTCAGAACAATAAATAGATCCTGAAACTACTTAATGCATAAATAATAAATCAACTGTACCCCTTCTAAATTCTAGACATTCAAGATCCATTAAGTTTAATAAAACATTATAATCATAGTTGACAAATATTAAACCTAATCTGAATGCACAATATTTATCTCAGAAATTTGTGTTGAACGGACTCTAATTATTGAAAAATCTTTTAAAGCATCTTCCAAAACTAAATTAGCATCCTACAGACTCTTTGTTTATAAATGTTTAGAGGATAAACTAAATATATACATTTTCCACATACATCTACCTCGAAACAGTTTTCTATAGATATTCATTGAAAACGAAAATACTGAAAAATTTAAATTTAGCACTTTTCCTACAATTTCTCCATTACGGTCCATTTTAGAAAAATCATGTATAAACAAAAATTATAGAGATCGATATCGCAAACAACTCTTAGTTCAACAATTTTCATAAAAATCAGAATTTTGCACATTTTGTCAAATTTCTCGAATACGGACCATTTCAGAAAATTTTGACATAAAAATTATAGATAGTAATATTAGAAGTAACTTTTATTTGAACAATTTTCTTCTCCAAACATAAATAACAGATATATTCCATAAAATATAAAAACGGCCCCCCCAGATGTTCCGACATGTCCAAAATCTAATAATTTCACGTTCAGGCCGAAATAAAACTTAAGTTTAAAATTTAATGTTTTTTTCTTTATCCGTTTTTGAGATTTCTTCAAAATTCAAAATGACACATTTTCTCAAATATCTCGAATACGGTCCATTTTAGAGAAATTATGTATGGAATAAAAATTATAGAGAATTATATTACAAACAACTTTTATTTGAACAATTTTATAAAAAATAGAACAAAAATTATAGATAATAATATTAGAAGTAACTTTTATTTGAAGAATTTTCTTCTCCAAACGTATATAACAGATATATTCCATAAAATATAAAAATGACCACCTATAAAGTACCCCCCCAGATGTTCCGATTCTGCCCAAAATATAAAAAGTTCATTGGACGCTGGAATAAAGCTTAAGTTTAAAATTTGGTGTTTTTTTGTGTATCGGTTTATGAGTTATGGTGGATACAGACACACAGACAGACACACACGCGCACGCACGCATTCACGCACACACACGCATTCACACGCACACACACAGACATCATCGCGAAAATAGTCAAAACGGATTCAGGGAACCTTAAAACGTAAAAAATCCGTTGAAAACTCGAGGACGAAACAAATCATGATTCCTATACTTTCCTGATATCTGTATACAGATAGGAAAGTAAAAATGTCAAATTATGTTATGTCGATCATATCAAAATCATATTCTGCACGAAATTTTACTAATTTTGACTACTCAACAATTCTACGGCGCATAGTTTTTGAGATACATTCCATATCCTACAGCCAACAACCGGCGTCCTGTCTTATTTGGACACCCGGTACGTTATATATAGAACAATACATATATCTACTAAAATGATAAATAGGAATAAAAAAAATCGATAAAAATGACGAGTTAGCCGCCATATTATGGCAACATAATCGGTTCTCTCACTCCAATTTAGAGATGGAATGATTTAGGCCTTGACTTAACAACAAATACACTTTTATCAATGACTAGTTGGGGATGTGGTTAGCTCCCTGCCTATACGCCATAAAATACACTGTTTTTATGAAATTCAATGAGAGTTCCTAAAACAAAACCTAAAGTTTTGAGTTTGATTTATTACAATCAAGAATTAAATCCGCCAATGACTAATTAAATACAATCTTGTCAGGTCGTCTTCCAAATTGTGTAATACTTGTTCATGTAGTGCATTAATATCAGGGCATAAAAGATAAAAATCATTAACACTATTAAAGGTATGAAAATGAAAATCAAAGTAGTAATTATCTATAAAAATATATTTGTAACTCACCCTGTATACTTGCTGAACAAAACTCAATGCAGGGTTTGTAGGTTCGTTCCTTTTATTCCTACATTCATCCACAAAAAGATGCCGGTGAAGAATTCAGATGCACGAATTTTGAAGTTTTATCACTAGATTATTGAAGTAACTTTATATTTTACTAAACATTAGATACGGAAAAGTATGTTTCATTTTCAATTTTATTTTATTAGAATGCCACTATTTTCACCGAGATTTTTACTGTTTAACCTAACTTTCAAAGCTTTCAACAAACATTTTTCAATTTGCAACCATTTTGCAACGAAACAAACTGACGTAAACCAGCGTTGCCAATTCGATTTTCATTTTTTCAGTGCTCAAAAGTTCATTAGATTTCAGTGACAAATTCAGTAGACCTATTTTGTAGATAGTATGCAAATTTAAGAAAAAAGTAGTATTAAGATTATTGAATATTGAAATAAAACAAAGAAAAGAACAGAACAGGTTCAACAAAATATGAACAATTATACACAACAAACATTTTTAAGCTATTGCATAGCTTTTATCGCGGGCTTTGAGCGCGACGACCGAATCAAGAAATTCCGTAACGAACGTAACGAAAAAAAACCTAACACTTTGACCGGCACAGCGGTGCGGCGTTAAACAATATTATTTATTCAATAAAAGAAAATCGAAAAATCGAAAAACCGAAAAATCGAAAAATGGAAAAATTGGAAAAATCGAAAAAAAAAAAAGTCGTAACGAAAATAAACCTCCCCCCACTCCGACCGGCACAGCGGTACGGCGTTGAAAGCCGTGCATCGTCTAACGTCGTTTCAGTTCGGCAGACTGCGGCATGGTGTTTGTGTGCGTGCGACTAGACGTATGTGTATAGACTAGCTGCTAACTGCTCATAACTGATTCTATCTCTTTTAAACACGATTTCGGAAAAATTGAATTTGAAAATGAATAATGATCTACAAGAATCCACAACAAAATATGGGACCACCATTGACGCGGTATTTTCCAGATATTTAGAGGATATCAAGTCTCAAACTTATGTTTCTTATTTCAGTTACCATAAACCTATAGTTTCAATGATAAAAATTTCTGAATAACCTACATGTATTGTAAGATAATAAAAATATTTTAAACAATAATAACTTCTCATTTATTCAATAAAAGAAAAAAAAATTGTTTTCTTATCGGCCACCACGCTCAAAAAGTGTAACTTGAATTAATATTAAAGAAAAAACTTGAATTAATATCAAAGAAGAAAAAAATACTGCATAAATAAATAATTATAATTGCATAAGTTGATAAAAAATGCTATGCAATAGCTTTACCGGGCAGTCCCCGAGTGCCACACGTATTTTCTTTAAACGTATGTCTATTCTATGTTTAAAAATACTTACTACAAAATAAATATATAATAAATGCATTGAAATTTCAAATGCACTTCATAAACACATGAACGTAGACGTTGCCACGTTGCTACAAAATTCGAGGGTCTTATGAAACATTTTATAAAAAAATGAATGTTTAATTTGAACTCCATCTTTTGACATTTTAAATAATTAATTCATTAAACCTATCTATACAATTTTAGAACCTTTCGGAAGTAGTTCTTCCAATATAAATAAAGAGAATAAAAATAAGACAAAGAAAGCAGCAATGACATTCACTAAATATAATGATGACAACAATATTCAACAAACGTCAAAATATCAAAAAATGACATGCCTACTATGAGAAGAAAAATGGAAAGAAAATGCTAGAAGCAATGAACCGATTTTAAAATCGATTTTTTCATTATAATATAATATTTGTTTCGTGAAAAATAAAAACTTGTGTGCACCACGAGCGTTACTAGATCCTAACACCCATCGGGCGTTAGGATCTATATAACGCACTTGGTACATAAATAACTATTATTTAAAAAAAAATCACATAAGGCTTGCCAGCGCAAATTTTGTTTATCCTTAAAGTTTTCCAGAAAATAACATATTCAAATATATCTTGATATACATCTTTAATGTAAACATTTTCGTCCTCTTAACATCGCACAAAAACATCTATCCACCATTAGTAGATAAAAATTATTAAAAATATGAATCAATTTTTGCTGATTTAAAAATTTATTTGTATGCCTATTGTTGTGATTCATTTTTACGGGTTGCCGAAAAGACAAAAAAAAATACTATGATTATCGTTTAAAAGAATTGTCTAACAAGAGTTTATAATTGTTATTGACTGTCTCAGCAAATGGTTTATACAATGCCATCCTTCTTCCTTTCATACATACACATGGTTTAAGAGGTAGGTAAAAATATTAATAATTTAGGTTTGAAAGCTAGGTTTACAATGAATTAAGATTGTAATTTTCAGGGAAAACACAATTGTCATGTCTTATGTGACTTTGAATATAAAATAATTTTTTTGTACCTCAGGGACTAAAACATGCATTTTACTCCCTCATTTTAGTGACTAAAGTACCACTTTTACT